TTATAGAGAATAAAATTGAATCTCTTGAACCTTCTTTATGTAATATGGAATTAAAGAATGTAATTGATGGCCAATTAATTTTTTATTTGCGAAATTTTATTTTGTGTAATCTTTTTTAAGTAATATAATATGACTTTTAAGAAATGCAACACTATATGCCTTTATTTATATTTTTACTGTGCTACAAAGTGAATATAAATAAGGACTTATCAATTGGAGTCTAGCATAAAGCACAATCGCAATTAAACCTAAAATTAATACAGTACATTAGATATTATTTTGGCCAAAACTCCTAGAATTAATCAATCATTCGAGAGTAATATATCATGAGTAAACTATATAAAAAACTTTGTACAAACCATAAGTTATATAATTAGACTGACGTACCTTTAAAAGTCCAACATGAGATTTTAATATATAGGAAAATATAGCTCAGAGGGATTTTGGGGACACCGGATAGTTTAAATAAGTAACTGACAAAAAAGTGACAGTTTAGGCGGGTTTTAGGCAGAGTTAAATAGCCACGTGTAGTGTTACATGGCACGTTGTTTAGACAATTAGGTGCGAGTACTGGACGCACCTCTAAGAATGCAATGCGGGGGCTTTAATATGAAGGGCAATATAGTTTAGGGTTTTTTGATGACACCAAATAATTTAAATAAGAAACTAACAAAAATATAATAGTTTAAGGGGATTTTAGGGTATTAACTCTTCGTAATATGCTTTGATTATCTGAAATGAACATCCAAGAGCTCGCTTTCTTCGGTGTCTCAATCTGTCATTTGATCAAATAACAAAGGTACTTGGGTCTAGCGAAGGGGAAGTTTATTGTATATAACCGGTAAATTATATATCAAATTGTAGTTAAGTTAAATTTTTTTGATTGGAGGTAAAGAAATTTCTAATATAATATAACTAGGTAAATATCTAAGTTTTGGCAAGAGAGAAATATTTATTACACAACCTTACCTATCCTAAGTATACGAGAAGAAGATAAAAGAACTACCAATTGATATCACGCACTGTTGTCATAGTTGGAATTAAGGGTGGCAAGTGGGCCGGTTCGGGCCCGGGACCGTTGGCCAAATGGGTCAGGACCGATATTCGTGGGCCTGGTCCGGACTTTTGGGCCGATTCGAGATTTGGAAGGCCAAACGGTCCCAACGGCTATAATTTTAAAAAAAAATTGAAAAGTTTAAAAAACAGTCGTTGGGGGCTGTCAAAAATAGTCGTTGGCTATTTATAAAATAGCCTTTTAACTCCCCCAACTTTATTTTAACCCTAAATATTTTATAATTATACTTTTTCCCTATTTTCAACTATAATACCCCCTCATTCTTTCATTTTTCTTACAAAATCATCAATCTATCACAATCTCTCTCTAATTTTCTTCTATAATTGCTACTATTACTTACTTTATTGTTACAATTTGTGAAAAAATTGTGAAGTTGGTGAATTAAAGTCTTCAACGATAATCAATTTTCAACAAGTTGTTCGTCAAATTCGGTAAACTCGTTCCAACTCTTAAGTTTTAATATTATATTTTTGTTTGTTTTATTTATTTTCTATTACTTGATTAATTAAGATGGCTTCCTTAAAAAAACTTTTTAGTAAAAATAAGGGAAAATCAAAGAGTGGCGAATCTAGTACTCAATTTGTTCCTCCTCCACTGCCCCGGGCTCCCCGAACCAAACCTCATATCCATCATACACTTGTTATTCTTGATAGCGATAATAGTTTATTACAATTTATTGAGAGTCAATTTTGCCATAATATTAGAGATGATAAACAATTAGACCATGAATTAATGAATGCTCTTTATTCTAATCCAACTATTGATGAAAATGATGATGAGGAAATAGATTTTGATGAAACTAATCGGATGATGATACACTCACTAGTCCTGCTCTTGATGTTAACCCAACTAGTGATAACCCTGCTAATCCAAATGATGACATCTGATACTCCTGTTACTACCCCTACTTTTTCTGGACAACCTATCAAACGGAAGGAAACATCTCATGTTTGGCCATTTTTTACTCAACTGATTCCAGAAAATAAGACTAAGTGTAAAACTTGTGGCACAGAGTTAGCTTTTAAATATTTNAGCTTTGGCCGAGGGGAAAAGTATACCTACTCCTAGTCAGGCTGACCCTAGTACCGGTTCAAATCAATTTCAACCGGAAATTAACACTGTTGCTGGTGGTATTTTATATTATGATCCAAAGAAAGATCGGGAAGAATTGGCAAAAATGGTAACTGTTATGTGCTTACCCTATAGTTTTCCTTCTGACCCTAACTTTGTGCATTACATTAGAAATTGTTTTAATCCTACTTATAAAGGTTTTTCTCGCACAACCATAAAGAGCGATATTTGTAAATATAAACATGAATATGAACAATATTTGTGCTATTTATTTACTCATATAAATTGTCGTGTTGCTATTACAACTGATATTGGTAGAACTGGTAACGATTGTGATTACCTTAATGTTACCAGTCATTGGATTGATGAGGATTGGATAATGCAAAAGCGCATTATTGCTTATAGAATAATTAATTCACGTCACACATGGCAGTTTATTGCTAGCACAGTTACGAATATTTGTAGATATTTTTGCATTAGTGATAAAATAATATCAATTTCAGTGGATAATGCTACTAGTAACACAAATGCTATAGCCTTGCTTACCAATACGCTAAATCCTACATTTAGTGACATTTTTCATGTTAGATGTATTTGTCATATTTACCATTTAATTGTGGGTGATGGTATGAGAATTTTAAATATTGAAATTGAAAAGGTTAAAATGGCTCTTAACTAGCTTTTTTATTCAAACCGTAGAAGTAGATTTGGAGAATATTTTAAAAGATGCGATGAATTTGGCCTAAGAGAAAGAAAGGTTCCTAAACCTTGTCCAACTAGATGGAATTACATGTAAGTGATGATGATGAGCACCTTACGAATGGGGATTGGGCTAATATTAAAATGCTTGTAGATTTTTTAGAAAAATTTTATATTGCTACAAATAAATTTTCTGGGCAATATTATCTTACTATTTCTAACTGTTTAGTTTATATTGCAGAACTTGCAAATTTATTTGCTCATTTTTCAGAGGGTGGAAAAATTTATAAACTTGCTATTGATTCTATGAGAAAAAAGTTTAAAAAATATTTTTTCCCTATTCCCCCTATTTATGGTGTTGCTGTTTTGTTAAATCCTTGTATGAAATTAGGAGGTCCTCAATTTTGGTATGAAACTGTTTATAATGGTTTAGCACTTGAAGATGAGGAGTTGTCTCAACTTCCGGAAGCAATAGCCTCAATTAGAATAAATGCTCAAACTATTTTTAATATTTATCAAGTTGCATTAAATCATGCTAGACCAAATGTTCCAACTCCTTCTTCTTCTGATTTTCAATCATCTAAAAGAACTGCGGGAGTAAGAGCACTTAGTGCTTTGGCGGGATTTAATGGTTCTCAAGGTTCAAGTGGTAGTGATTTTTCACAACTAAATGAGCTTGATGTTTATTTGTCACAGAGAATTGAGGAAGTGAATCCCGACGGCTCCTTTAATCTTTTGGAATGGTGGAAGGATAAAGAAAAATACTTTTCGGTTCTTTCAAGGATGGCCCGAGACATTTTAGCTATTCAAGCTTCAACAGTAGCATTGGAGAGCGCTTTCAGTCAAGCAAGACTTCAACTCGGTGATTATAGAGCGTCTATAAGGGAGAGCTTGGAAAAATCAGTACTTTTCAGAGATTGGATCCGGTCATAAAGAAGAAATTTTGGACTTGCTGAATCACAACCAGAGGAAGACGAAACTTACAAAGAAATGCTAGCTGAACTTGCGGAGGATGCTGCTTCGCCGGAAGCGGCGATGACCAAGCTACTTTTCCGCCACCACCAACGGAAATTCCTCTGCACCTTGATGGATTTATGAAGTTTGTAAGAGATACCATGTAACTTGTATGAACAAAAATTAGTATGTATTATGTAACTTATATTTTCACACATCTTGATTAGTTTCTTTTTCTTCTCAATGGTGGTATTAGCACCTTGTTGTGCTCATTCCATAGGGGGAAGGAAGACTAAGAAAGATATTGCCATATTTTTTTAATGCTATAATAAAATTACAAGGCATTGCTTTAAATATCTCTTTATAATATTTTTGTCTTTAGACTTTAAATTTGAATTAAAAAATTTAGGTCACAATTCAATAATAAAATTTACAAGGCATTGCCTTAGATATTTTTTTTAACATCTTTTTGTCTCTAATTTCTATTTAATTTAAAAAAAAAACCATTGGGCCCACTTAGCCAGCGAACCGGGACCGTTTAGTCCGTTTAATTTAGGACCGGCCCGGGATCATTTGGACCGGCCCACTTGGCCCGGGACCGGTCATTTGCCGCCCTTAGTTGGAATCTATCGAGAGCTTTGAAAGATTGATGAACAGGTAATTAATTAAAAATGACCGATTATATTTTGTTAGGTTTAAAGTTATGCAAAAACAAAAGGCACAAAACCAACAATGTCATAAATATTTTTTAGAAAACTTTACAGTATCTTTTTCATCATTTTCTTGTTTTCGCCTCCAGATTTTGGATTTACCTTGCTGTATTTTGTAATTCACATCAGGAAATGGGACTAGGCAATTATTTTGGAGACTACTGCTAATACTGATAGCATATGTCTTTACCTTTACCATGTCATGTTCCACTTTATCGTTGGTTCATCTGAATTTTCATTGTGTACAAGAAAAATCGAAACTTTCCGTCTTTTCATTTTGTTAAACATCGGAATTTAAATAATGATTATGTCTCAATAAAATTTATCACGTAAAGACACTTTCTTTTGATCAGGCAATAGTAAAATTTCATTAATTGGCATCCAGAGGATGAAAATGCAATACGAAAAAACAGGGAGCTCCTGTACATCCTATTTCTCACGTAAAGACACTAAAATCGATCATATATTTGTTCAATTCTTGCAAACATATGTGAATATAAGAAATTTTAACTGCAGCACTAATAGATTGAATTCATATTACATGTGACTCATAATTAAACCCAAAATAACCAAACAAAACCGAGAATGAATAAGCTGGTTTTATGTTTGGTTGTGTCTATATCAGAACGATAGTAATTGGTTTGACCTTTTAGGTAAAACCAATTCAAATCAAAAGAGGAATAGTCCTAAGAATTTAAGGGGCAATTTCCACCTCAATGCAATATTTTTGTGGGAAGTAAGGAATCCAAGAATAAATTTACAATCAGCAAGACTAATATTTGGGTATACGACTCTCTAACTGTGACAATTTTAACTTCATCTCACTTGCTTGCTTTCATAATAAAAGGTGACAAATACACCAGCAAAAAGGTATTACCTTCCCCTTTGAATGGCTTCTGTTAGAATACCACTGTGAACCTGGCTGTAATATAAGGAAATCATTGTTTGATTTCTGAAGAAGGCTTAATGCAAGAATAGTAGTAACAGAAATGGTATCGACTCGGAGGACAAGCAGAGTTCCTGCAGCATACCTGGCAAATAATGATCTCTGTGTTTTTCAACTGCAAGAAACGATCTCTATGGCGAGCTATGTTGTAAGACCGCCATTTACGTGCACTAACTCAAGATTGAAGACCAACCAAGAGACCAGGCACCTAATCTCAGATGTTTTAGCAGTGGTGTATCCACACTCCAAAGTAGCTCCACTACAATGTCTGTAATTCAAGATACCACAGGTTATTGCGATTAATCACCACATCCTGCACCTAGCCAGATTAATCAACAAGAAATGATAAACAACAACAATTATACTTGTAAAAAAACAAAAAACTAAAACAAACAAAGACAACTACTAAGGGAAATGAGAGTTTTTGCATTAATTATATCACCAAGACAAGATGTTTCACTGCCTTAGAGCAAGGCATCCAACTACATCCATAAAGGAAAGAAGAAATATTCTATTCCAGATACAACTATTAAGAAAGAAAGTAGTTGAAAGTATTCGTCTTAAACTACGAATACTGAACTCACTGATTAATTGTGGTATGTTTTAAGTAACAAATTAGAGAAGAGAAGCAACTGGCCGGAGAGGTGTAAACGTGTGCGCCATGCTCACCTTTAGAGTTCTCTACTTTGATATAAAACTATGTTTTTTTTTACTAAAAATACAAAATTCTGTTAAAGGTGATAAGTATAGTGTCTTTGTTTGAGGGTATGAGCTTCCTCCTACATGACTAGAAAAGAGAGTACTAATTCTTGCTAGCTCTAGACACGAGTATGTCATGAAGATCCAATCCATGACCATTTGCCTATGACTTTTTTTCCAGATGTTGAAGGACAAGGATGAAAGGGATGTGATGTTATGCTAACAAACAATTTGAAGCTTGTAATACAATACAGGTAACTTGGATTAACCGCACATTGAAAAGAAGTATGCGAAAGTTAATAATCAACTGCATTAGAATAGGATTCTATGGGCAAATAAAAGCTCTCGATGTATTGGCATGACTCCATACATTCCGGCTTAACAACGCTCCAACTTCAAGGAATCTGAATACCAGAAAACAAAGAAATCCTTCTTTCAAGATCTATTCAAAGCAGCCCTTGATATAAATACATGGAATACATCAAAAGAAATTACCTACAAATGCTGCTTAAACTTCATGAACAACCTAATGTTTTGCACAAGTAGCTTAAACTGCATAAAATACCTTGAGGTTTTGCCTAAGTTCAACCTAATTAAGAGCTGTAAATATGATGACTAAACTCGGAAAAAATCAACAAAAGAAATGGATTTGCAGCAGAAGCCATGTACCATTTTCAGTTTGGTCTCAACTACAATAACACAAGCCATGTCTTGTTAATTCTCTATGATTTCTGAAATATTAACAGTTTCAGTCAAGCACATCATGTAGTAAGAGACAAATTAAACAAAGATGAAAACACCTTTAAGAAGTGCATCAGTAATAAAATGAACGGTACTAGTATTTGGAATAGAATGAGTCTGCACCGAGGGATTTATCTTGCGAGAAATGAAACATATGCTGTAGAGAAAGCAACCTGGGCATCCTAACTGATTTCTGATCATAAACCTGCAAATGAATGAGAAAATAACCAAAGACTTGCACAACTAATATCATCAGTATTTTGATTAATTAGTCTATGTTCTCTACCTTGAAGACTGATATAGATTCTCTTAAGTGTTCCCCTACTCTTCAAAACCTGCAACCTATAAAGAGAAAAAATCATCAGCGGTCGAAAAGATCAAGAAAATCGTACGAGCTTCAGACAGGGAAGTGTAGTAGTGGACAACTATGGCATGCAAGAAACACAAGCCAAAGTAATTGCTAACTTTATCTCTATACATGGTTAAAAGAAAGTGTTGATATGCATAAGACCGGGCATATAATGCAAGAGTCATCTACCTCAGCTGTGGCGAAAAAAGCAGAACGCTTGATCAAGCTGGCACATATTCTGCTTGAGTGATGAGAAATACCTTGCAACAGGAAAGATGAGCAAAGTTCTTATGGAAATAGTCAAAGGTCTGGATCTGAGTCCTGCTTCCTTTTCACAAAAGGAGTCCTTCACAAAGTTCTTCTTCGGAAGAAGAATCCTCTGTAGTCACATAATCGGTGTCTTTCATTTGCCTATTCAGTCCTCCCAAAAGACAGTAAATTTCATTTGTTTGGCCACTGGAGGTATCTGAAACCAAAAAGGGAGAAAAGCCAGAACCCGTATCAACCCAAGCACATCCTGGAGCCTTTCTTACACCAAAATCCCGCATAACGGTTCTCACTTTTGCCAGTTTATTCCAACGTCCAGCATCCGCATACATATTAGCAATCAACACATAATATCCAGGATTATCGGGCCTCAGCTCCAGCAGTTTCTCAGCTGCCCATTCTCCTATCTCAGTATTCCTATGAATCTTACATGCTCCAAGGAGAGTTGCCCACATTTCAGGTGTTGGTTCATAAGGCATCTTTATAATGATTTCCTCTGCTTTTTTAAGTAGACCAGCCCTACCAAAGAGGTCAATCATGCAAGAAAAGTGCTCCAAACGAGGACTTATATCATAAGTACTTTGCATCTGTTCGAATAGCTTCTGACCCTGCGTCACATGGCCTGAATGACTACATGCTGACAAAGCAGCAACCATAGTCACATGGTCTGGTTTTATATGGTGCCTTATCATCTCATTAAAAAGTTCAATTGCTTCTCTTCCTTCACCTTGAATACCATATCCTGCTATCAGCGAAGTGTAGGTAACTGCATCTTTCTTGCTCATCAAATTAAATAGTTTTCTGGCTACTACTACCTTTCCGGATCTCGCATACATATCCACAAGGGAATTCCACAATAGCAAATGTTCCTCAAACCCGTCCCGCCTTGTAAGATAGCAGTGAAATTCTTTACCATGTTGTAAATTTGCCACCCTAGCACAAAGGGGGAGAATGCTTGCTATAGTTATATAATTTGGCTCAACACCAGAAAACAGCATTTCTCGGAAAAGAAAGGAGGTTTCCTCAAACCTGTCCCAATGTGCAAAGCCAGATATGATCGTATTCCAGGTAATTACAGTTTTAGAGTCAACCAACTGAAATAAAATATGTGCCTGCTTAAGCGCCTTGCATCTGGCATACATATTGATTAAAGCATTTCTTACATTATCGAAATCGTCAAGGTGACTTCGAATCACTAAACCATGAATTTCTTTTCCATTTTTTAACAAACCAGTATGAGAACATGCACCCAAACCAATCAGTGTTGCCACAGGTTCTAGCTGAATTCCACAAGTTCTCATTTGAGAGAACAATTTAAGAGCCCCAATAAAGTTACCTGTCTTCAAGCAACCTCCAGCTATGGTGTTCCAAGTAATAATATCCATTTCAGCACCAGTAGCCCTCATTCTATCAAAAAGCTCAAAAGCTTTACTCCACATACCTTTGGAAGCATAACCAGAGATCATTGAATTCCATGAAACTGCATCCTTAACTGGCATCCTTTCAAATATGTCATGTGCAACATCCACTTCCCCACATTTCGCGTACATGGAAACTAAAGCATTCTGGACAAACAAGCTACCCTCTAGGAAACTAGCATCTATAGATTTGTGAATATCCCGGCCAAAAGCAAGATTTAATTGTTCACCGCAGGCCTTCAGAACAGATGGATAAGTGAACTCATCGGGTCTTATACCTCTATTCACCATCTGTCTATAGGCAGAGAACGCCTTTTCATTTTGCCCCCTTCTGACATAGGAAGAAATAAGGAGATTCCAAGGGAGAGGGTGCAAAATATTTGAAGTTTCAGCAATTGCATGAGCATTATCAAGTAAACTGAAGGTCGTATAGAAGGTGATTATCCTTGGCACCAAATTCCAACTATGCGCAATGCCTGAGTTAATAATGCAGGCATGAATTTGTTTCCCTTCGGGAAGTGACTTACTGTTAGTACAACATAACAAAAGAGACGATAAGGACTGTATAACAAGATCACAAGGGGTTTGAGAGGAGACATGGGTCCGAATAAGTGAAAAAGTTCTAAAGGCTTTGCATATGTGGCCTTGGCTTGCAAAGTCCTTCAAGGTTGTCAATAGGCAATCCACCATAGACTCACTAGTTGCTTCACAAGACCCTGAAACAGATTCACGAGAACTACACGGCAAGGGCTGGACACTGTTTCGGGGGTCTGATTCTGTAACGCTCCTCCACTTTTTAGGTATGAACTTCTGAATTTGGGACAAAGGAAGGTTTCTTGGAAGCACACTGAATCGGGAGGGCATAAACTACAAATGCTGAAACTACAATGAATAATAAGAAGATAGCAGATGGGTATCGTATGCATGACTGCCTCCGCATTTGCAACACTAGCAACAGTCCGTAACGGCTTAAAAAGATTGATTTTTTACCGAATCTATCCCTGCAAAAAGAATCACATTGTGTAAGACATACAACAATAGCAAATAATCTATAAAATCCAGTGCGGTCATGATGCAACCAAAAAGGAAAATAATTATTCAGCTTTCTGACACATTAATATGAACCTGAAAATCATACACAGAAACATATAAAAATGAATTTCTAAGGACAAACAAGAAATATACTCCTTCAGTCCCAACTTATATGACACTCTTCTATTTTGGAACATCCAAAAACATTTAACACCATTATATTTCTATACAACCTTCAAGACTTTCAAGAATTCGATTTAATTAAAATATTCAAATTTTAAACTTTCATGTGATGTTTTTACTATCAAACTAGCTTTTCAACAATCCCTTTTGATATTTTCTTCCAATATATGACTAAAATTAATAACTTAAACTTCATGTCCAGTCAAATATGATCATATAAATTGAGACAGAGGCAGTAATATCAAATAAGCAAAAACAGGAGCTAAGTAGGATTGGTAGTCCTCTTGCATTTAAGTACCTAGTTAATTACAGCATTTTGGTGTGTTTCTAAAAACAAATAAGAAAGGAAAACCCAAAAGAAATTGTCATAATTTCAATTAAATCACTCAAAATTGTTCACTTTATCAGCAATTGACCAACAAACCACAAAATAAACAGAGACAGAAGAAGACTCAATTAAAAATTTCACTTTTTAGTATTTCTATAATCATTCAGAGTGCACTCTGAAGTTTCTGGAGAAGTTAATCCAATATTCAAAAACAGGTTAACAATACACAAATTGACCCAAGAATTGGTCCTAAATAACCTCAAGTAGCTAAATGGGAAGATTAACAAAGATAGTGAGAGAATATATGTACCAAGTCTGGAGGCCAACGGCCACAGGGGTCGCCGGTAAGGAGAAAGGGAAAATGGTAGCTGTAGAGATTGGAGGAGGAGACGAACTGAGAAAAAAAAAAACCTTCTCTGGGGGTTTAGAGAATGGGGTTTTGACTTTTGACAGCTTTTGTCCTTTGAACCTAGGAATATCTTTNCCTAATACACACTTAAATTTTGTGGGAGTTCTATTACCCTTTGTTCTCGTTCAAAATGTACTTGAATAGCTTATACGACAAACACAATATGAGGTTAGTTAGTATTACACGCTACCACGTATCGGAAAATAATAAGACAAAAAAAATCAATATCGCTCTCCCACTCCTCTCCTTAATTTTTAGGATAATAAAAAGTTTTTGGGAAGAAATTATTGTGTTTGTTGAGAGGTGGATCGATTTTGATAAAAAGAGAAGGGTATAGAGTGAGGAAAAAATGGTTCGATCGGAAGAGAATGCATGATAATGGTTTTTTCATTGCCATAATCTGCATACTTGTTCGTCGGAGAAAAATAACAGGAAAGGAAGAAGAAAAGGAATGAAGAGAAATAAATAGAAAGGAAAAAAGAAAAGTACATTTTCTTTTAGCTTTTTCAATTGTGAAATATAATTTTTGGTCTTCATACTTTTTTTTTTGTAAAATATATGTCCACGTGTGATATCACTTAGTCTTAGTTACCAGCTATTAAGTTAACTATAATTAGTGAACCAATCAGTTGTAACTATAGTTAGCTATTGGTTAATAACTTGTATAGATATCCATTAGGCGGTTAGTGATGTTGGTCAAACTAGATATATATTATTGTATTAGCTTAGCTTGTTCATTAAGCTAAATGAGAATCTCTCTTCAGCTTCTCTGTTCCATTTCATCTTTACTCACAATTGCAATACTTTAATATACAATTCAATTCAGAAATTTAACAAGGTATCAGAGCCTATTATCGAGTAATTCTAAAGGATTTCTTCGTGCAATTGAAGAGTAAATAGAGAGAATTTACTTTGTTTTTGCTTTGTAACTCTAATTTTGTGTTTTATTTGCATAATTCATAGATATTAGTGACGAATCGAGTGGCACGACTATCGGAACAACTGTAACCGACGACGAGGCAATTGTTCTAGAATATAACAATAAGTTTTATCTTCATCCATCAGATAGACCAGAATCAATGTTGGTGGATTTGTTGTTGACTGGCATAAAAACCTATACTCTTTGGAATCAGGTAATTAAAGTAGCTTTGTTGGGAAAGAACAAGCTCTATTTAGTTGATGGATCCACGACTAATGCAGATTTTGGGTCAACATTAGCACATCAATGGGACCACTACAATGCAATTATAACTTCATGGTTAATAAGGATGTGAGTCAACATCTTTTGACTAAAGTTCTTTTCTATAAGATGCCCAGACTGTTTGGGTGCAACTTAAGGAGCGGTAAATACGTCTAGCCTTTACTATTTGCAGAAGAAAATTTTCACATCTATTCAAAGTGTATCAATTGTATCTGTTTATTTTACTAAATTGACAAATTTATGGACTGAGTATAATCAGGGACGGCTCAATAAATATGGATTCCTAAAGCAAAATTTTTAATGAGGGGCCTTTTTTATATAAAAGGAAAAATTCATATATAATTTTATTTAAATTCTGTATTTCTAGTTTTCAAAGTTATTAACAATTTTATCTAATCCATTTAATTTCTCTTGAGATATACACGTTGTGAGACTGTATTAAGGTTTTAACCTTTATTGAGTTATGAATTAATAATCGAATCCTTTCTCAATTTATGGTCTAGAGAGTGATTTCTAAAAAGATATTTTTCTCAATTTATGATCAACAATTTAATCCTACTTCTTTACTATGAAAATTTATACTTTCTCATTTAAAACACTAAATATTCTTCTAAAGATAAATTAATATATAACCTATTAAAAAAATTGGGGGCCCAAAAAATTATGAGGCCCAAAGCAGTTGCTTTAGTAGCCTTACCCTTGGGCCGGCATTGAGTATAATTCAATATTACCATCTCTACCTGCTAAGGATTACGTTGAGCAGTTAAAACTTCAACGTTTTCTGTAATTGTAATGGGATTGAATGATAACTTTGAACAAGCTAAAAGCAGATACTTATGATGCCTAATGTACCAACTATTAATCAAGCATATGCGGTGATTCAATATGAGAGTAGACAACTAATCACATAAAATAACTTTAGAGCGGGCGCACTGAACATACTGTAATGTTACTTAGTCACGAAACAAGCAAAGAAGGAATTATAATTTGGAGTGTGATTTTTTTTATTTGAAGGTGTTTATCGGAAAAATCGGATAACGTTAGATTTTGTATATGGTTCTAAGGATATGCAATACAATTCGATATAAATCGTGTAGAGAAATAGAGATACGTATATTCTTGACTATGAGAATGCAAATAATAGGCAATAAGAATGAATGAGATAAAGTAAAACAAATACAAAGGGATATCTTTCAATCTAAGAAGTGATTTTTTTTTGTCCCCCCTCCTTTAGCTTACAAGGATTTCTCCTTTTATAGAAGAGGGTCATTACAAAAAATAATAAAATAAAACATATAGTGGAAGGCACATGATGACTAGTCTCTTCCTTGATTCCCGCCAAGATTCTCTCTCTTGGTGCTGTCGCAACGACTCTTGTCTGTGAGCTCGATACTGGCTCGAACTCATTACTGGGTCGGGCTCTTCGGTCTTGGCTCGAGTTTGACATTCGAGATGGCCGTCGCACATTTTTGACCTCGAAGCAGTGCCTTGCGGATCGATTCGGTCACGAGCTCGATAGGGTTATCGAGCCGACTCCTCGAGCGACCTTCGGGCTCGAGGCTCGTTAGTACCGACTTCGGAGCTCACTCCCAAAATCTCATTCCGACTTTTTAACACTTGAACTCGATCGAATGTAGAAAGGCCGAAATCTATTTCGACCGTATATAGATAGTCCCCTCGTTTCTCATGAAGGATGCAGTGAGAATCGATGTGATTTTTGGTGGTTCGATCGGGTCATAAGCCGACGTTTTCACAAGGATCGATTATGACGTATGTGATAGTTGTCCTATCGATTTAGCCTTTTAAGGTATTTAATGCTTGTCAGATGGCGGTCGACCACCTGTGATATTGATCCGTCACGATACGAGCCTATAAATAGCTCTTCCATCTATCATTTACTTCTTTCACGCGTTCACTGCCCCAAATTTTCTCATCTTTTCTTCCTTTCTTGTTGCTACCAGAGTTTTGGTGTCGTCAATTCTTTACTTTCCTTTGTCCTTCTTCCTCCCACATCAATGTCTATGACTTCGAAAATTGTGCCTTAGAAGGAGAAAGCTTATTTTTCACGGCCGTCCGGCGACAAGGCGTCGGTGGAGCCGTCCACCTATGACTACATTCCCGGCACGTGTGCTCTAAAGATCGATTTTAAGGTTGAGAATATTTCATCCGTCCCGGGTCGATGCGAGCACGTGTCGATGTATATGTGCTCTATAACGGAGGGTCATCTCGAGACAATTAGAAAAGACTGCAACTGGGGTTCCGAGGTTGTGTTGCAAATTTCGTCCCCCGAAGAGAGTGTCATCACCCATGTGGAAGGGTTTTTAAGTGTTTACACTTATCCCTTCACATTGCGTCCGGTCGACCCGATGATCATCGATTTTTGCAAGAAATATCAGGTCACCCTTGGTCAGATTCATCCCTCTCTGTGGCGTATAGTAATCCTACTTCGCTTCTTCTCCACCAAAGTCGGGGGGCTGGATTTTTCCCTGAATTACCTCATACGGTTGTATCGGCCTCAAATCTTTCGAGGATTAATCAGACTTCATCGTCGGGCATCAAAGGCTTTGATGTCGAGCATAGACAAAGACAAGGATCGGGTTTAGATGGGGCGTTACATTCGGGTAAGGACCCATGACCTTATTCCGAAAGAGAAGATGCCGTTCCCCGAGGAATGGAATTTCGACCGTAAGTTGTTCTCATAAGACGTTGCCTTTTGTATCCTTTCCTGAAAAAAATTAAATTTTTTTTTGATGTTTCTTCCCGATATACAGCTGCCCCTTGGATGCCACAAGCGGTGCCCGACCTCGAGGATTGGGTTCGGAAGTTAGCCTCGAATTCCTCTTATGCCGAACGCGCTTGGCGTGATTTGGCTAAAGGCAGATGGGAAGTCAAGAATCATGGTAAGGTTTTACTTCTCGTTTCCTTTGAAGCGCTCTTTGTGCTCCATTCGTTACCGATTTCCTTTCATGCAAGTGTAACCAAGGATGCCGTTTTGAGGCCTTCGAGCGGTGAAGAAGGAACCAAGTCCCCGGTCCCAAAATCGGGGAAAGATAAGAAGCGCAAAGCTGCCTCTCGATCAGAGGGCCCCAAGCCCGAAACTCGAAGGGTGAGGAGGAAGGCGATTGCCCTTTCGATTGACTTGGTCCAACGACTGAGAGAAGAAGAAGAAGAAGACGAAGAAGAAGAAGAGGAAGAAGGAGGTGCCTCAGCCTTGGTGTCCCGATTTGCAAGAGCTATCGAGGTCACCAAAGTTCCTGAACCGATGGCAGCTGTACCAGTCGGGGTTGACTCCGGGATCACGAGTCTTGATCGGAACGCCCCGAGTGATTCACTTGGGACTATGACAGTGGGTTATTCGCCTTCTCTTCCCACCTTTTCTGAGGAGGCGTTAAAGGAAGCTCGAGAATTGAAGACCTCCGATATGGGCGGAGGCTCTAGTGCAGGGGATCCCTTTCGGGATTTCTTTACCGGAGTTGGTGATGCTTCCGATATCGGGGACACTTCTCTTCTACTGGAAGAGGCCTAACGTTTCATTACTCGGGTAATGATTTTACTATACTTGGTTTCTTTGTTCTTTTCCGAATTTGACTCGTGTTCTTTCCCTACTGTGCAGGCCATTAGTAGATTTCGGGTCAACCTTAGCCAGTGTGAGGTCGAGCTTCAGAAGGTCTCGGGGGAGAGAGACGCCTTGCGACTTCTTTGCAGCCAAAAGGACGAGGCTATAAAGGACCTCCAAGCGGATTTGGCTAAGGCTCATGAAGAAGAGGCCAAACTTGACAAGCAGGTGAGCCTCGTTCTGTTAAAGGATGGGTTTGACTCGACTGTGGAAGTTAACCCTTCGTTGTCTCAGCTGCAGCAAAAGGTTGA